CTATTTAAATGTTAACAATACCACATGTCAATGTGTTTATTGTACAATTAATTAAATTGAAACGCTTACAAACATCATCAGTAACTAAATTATCACATTCAACGTTTGTTAAAATGATAGAATTACATTTTACTTTTAAATATTTGATTTTACCACTTGTTACATTAAAAGAATCAAATGTATATTCTCCAAAATCCAATTCTTGTATATTACCCAAACTACAATACAAATGTTTATTTTCAAATGAAAATTCATAAACTTCATTTATTTTTATTTCTTTATCATTGCATTTAAAAATGATAGTTTTTGAAGCATTATTATTATTATTATAATTATTATTGTTATTAATGTTTATAAAATAATATATGTAACCAGTTTTAAATGAAGTAATTTTGTTTGTATCTACATAAATTTCATTTTTCTTAAGTAATGTATTGTTATGATACCATGTCACTTCTTCATTGGAATTATTTTGAAATACTTCTAATTTATCATCATATATATCCATTACTTTTCCTTGATAATTAGATATTATTATCTTTTTTAAGTGACATTTTGAAATATCAATTGATGCTTTACAGCTGTTAATTATTAATGATTTTAAATGTGGAGGAATGATAATATCAACATTTTGTTTTTCAACGTCTTGTATTGATAATGATTCAATTGATAATGATGTTAAATCAATTTTATTTCCTTCATAATCATTTAAAACATTTTTAATTAAAATATTCTGTAAATTGTTCTTTACAATTATTTCATTGATTTCATTGATTTTATTGAACACATCACTTTCAATAGTCATATCACAATTATCTATTAAGAATTGAGATTCATATGGTAATATTGGTAAATAAGGACAATTCATTGTTGATTTATTAATTGTTCTTGTGTAAAATCTACAATTAATGAATTGATTATAATCCATTTGATTTAATATGTTAGTGTTTGAATATGTAATAATAAAAATAATAATGAAATTGATTTGGTTATGCTTATTAAATCAAATGACTTTGAAAGAAGTTGAAATTCACCAATACTAC